GCATCTTGTACAGCAATTAACCACTAAGAAGAATATATGCAGTGTATTATTTGTTGAAACTACTTCCGATTTGATTTGAAACTGTCTCATTGCTATCTGTTTATCAATAAAATTTTGGAAAAAAAAAGAAAAGATAAAGAGAAGTCCTAGCCAGCTCTGTACATATCAGTATAAGGAAATAGGGTTAGGCTCAGCCAAAATGGAGACAATTGCTTTTCTTTCAAAGAGAGCTGCTCAAGTGGTCCTCCACATCCACTCTGTCTTTGCTTCCTGGTCCCCATCAGGTGAGCAGGCCTCTTCCTCTGTGGGTTCTCTCCATGACTTATGTGCTACCACTGGCCCAAAGCAATAGGGACAACTGACCACAGGCTAAAAACCCTGAGACTGTGAGCCAAAACAAACCTTCCATTATTGTAAGTTTATCACAAATATTTTTCACAGCAATCAAAATCTGACTCTCACAGCAGTCTGAATTAATTTTTACCTGTGAAATGGTATCCACCACCCCAGGATGAAGTGCATTGCATCAGCTGGAGCACATATTTTCATGAGGATTGCTTTCAACAATCATGGTGCAGCTGAACATTCATGGAGGTGGGCAACTGGTATCCATACTGTTAAGATTTTCAAAACTATGGATGAGTCTGTATTTGGTAAGCAGTAGAGAATACCCTAAGCCAGAAAGCCTCAACAAAATGTAGGTTCAGGAACTGTAAACTTTTGGTACTACAGTAAAAGTTTTTCTGAAAGAAAATATCAAAGCATCATGATTAAAGAATAAATGCTCAAGCTATCTTTCTGAAATGCTTAAAGTCTAAACTTGGACTGAGATGAGGTCTCCCTTGTTGTGCTGACTCCCCTGAGGTGATCCCTTGCTGCTGAGCCTCCAGAGTAGCTGGAGTGTAGCTGTGTGTCACCGTGCCTGGCTGGATGAGTAAATGTTCAGGCACAGAGAAAAGACAGGGAAAAAAAAAATCATGTAAACATATACACAGGGTAGCTATGATGATTCTACTACTAATTTCTATCAGTTTTTTGAAGGTAGCAGTTAATGCTTAAAATGATTACTTTGATCAATTTTATATACTAACATCTGTAATCTGAGCAACTACACTGAAGATAGTAATGTGCAATATACCACCATTGAATACTTTTCATCTTTTTTTTTTTTTTTTTGGCAGAACCGGGGATTGAACTCAGACCCTTGCGCTTGCCAGGCAAGTGTTTACTCTACTGAGCCATCTCCCTGGCCCCAATACTTTTCATCTTGATTTTGCTTTTTGTGTGTTTTCTTTTTTTTAAAGGTGTATCATTCCTAATGTCTTACCTGTTATTTTTATACTTTTTAAAAATAAATTTAAAAAAATAAAAAGGACAAAAAATTCAAGGTTTGTGGAAAGGAAGAGTTAATGTCTTAACAATTTGATCAGTCTTACACACCTATATCTGATAGTCTGAGCAATAAATTTCATGCTAATAATATATAATACAACAATCATTGTTAATTCCCTGTTCTTGTTTTAAAATTCTGTACCACTTTTATTTCTTATGGTGCTTTGTTTCTGTCTTTGTTCTTATTTGTTTTTGTTGCTTTCTTTTAAAATAAAATTTTAAAAAAAGAATATTGTAAGCACTGGAAAGCTATGACTTCAATACTTGTATTCCCAACTACCACAAACACAGCATACGGTATTGATCCTATAAGCATGCAGTAAGTGGTACAGCACTGTGTCCTTTCAATTATGTGTTCTGTGTTTGGTCTTCTCCTTCTCAAAGCATATACTGAATTCTGTTTTAAAGCATTTCTCAAGCTGCAACTCCTTGTGGAAAATTATTTCTTTCATGCTGGTGTGTGGAGGTCATCTTCCACATGAAAGATTTTGCTTTCT